GCCCGCCCTCGACTGTGCAAAAGGGCGGTCGGCCAGCAGCCAGGGTGCTGCCGCTGCCTCAAGTGTTGGGGCTAGGAGCTCGTAGCTCCAGTCCGCAGCAACACCTCGACCCGAGCCGCGGTCAGGGCAGACCAGAGCCCGCCCCCGTGCTCGGAGAAAAAGTGTGCCCACCCACGAGTGCGCCACGCCTTCCCCCTGAGGCGGGGTGCCTGACGCGCGTGTCGAGCGGGAGACGCGCGCGCGCGCGAGACGGCCGCGCGAAGCGTACGGTGGGGCGCAGCGTTGGGGCCAGGAGCTCGTAGCTACCTGGCCACAGCAACGCCTCGCGCGAGCCACTGTCAGGGTAGACCCGAGCCCGCCCCCGTGCTCGGAGAAAGAAAACGTGCACACACGAGGGAGCTCACCGCGCCTCCCCCCTGAGGCGGGGTGTCTGACACTCGTGCAGAACGGAACGCGCGCGCACACGAGACGGCAGCACGCTGCTCATGAAACTCAAAGGCCGCCCACACAAGGACGACGAGACCTGCCATCCCAGGTGCAGATGGCGCCAGGGCGATAGCAGGCCTCGCCCCAGATGTAGGGCACGCGCTAGATACCTTCCAACACGAAACACAGAAAACGGCCACCCACACAAGGACGACGAGGCCAGCTGTCCCAGGTGCAGAGAGCGCCAGGACGACAGCCGACCTCGCCCCATATGTGGGGTAGTGCACGGATGCCTGCCAAAAAGGGCCAGTCGCATCGGGCCGTGCGCCATAAAGACAATGAAGAAGAGATGGTGCTACATACGCCTGGCAAAAAAAAAACAATACAAAAATCTAGTCTGAACTGTCCGACTCCTCCTGGCGGTGACCCGCGGCGGAGGATTGAATGTCCTGCCGCAGCTCTTGGTGGGTGCCGCGCTCCGAGGGCTGGTGCCTCAAGGCCGTGGCCAATCCCCGTTGCTGCAGCGCCTGCAGGAGCTCCGAGGCCACCTCCTGCTGTCGAGCCTCCTCCTCAGAATCCGTGTCCTGCGGGGGTCCCGAGGGAGCAGGAAGGTGCCTAAAGGGGCCTCGGGGGAGGCGCTCAAGGTCTTGAAAAGAGATCGGGCAATCAACTCCAATGGAGGGTCTCTTGGGGTGGCGTCCCTTGGAGACCTCAGACCGCACCCGCCTCCCAAAGCGTGTGGGGCGAGTCGGGCACTTCACGAGCAAACCTCTGAACCTCCCGTGGGGCGAGTATGACTTACAGGGGGTACACAATATAAAGGTGGCCCCGTCTGAACACTCCAGGCCTATGCAAGAGTGGCCCAAGCTCTGAATTTTCTGTAGCGGCAGCTCTCGAGTGCCAGGGCAATCCTTTTTTAAAAAGGGGGCTTGCGAGGCCAGGGGCTGCGACGCACTTTAAGACAAAGCAGGCGCTTCCAAACTGTACCGAATTGGCACCAGAAATGCAAGCCATTGCCTGCTCTCTCTGGCTTTGGCGGCCGAACATATTCTACCTCTCCGTACTCGCGCAGGGGGGCGAAATTGGGGAGAAGGTGCATGGCAATAATACAGTAAGCCCTAGCGAATTTGATGTCGGTTGTCAGGGATTCCTCGAGCTCCAAATCTGAAGGGTCACGCGAAAGAGCGGCCTTCGCCAGGGCGTCCGCCTGGTCGTTCCCTGCCCTCCAACAACGAAGCTGAGGAGAGATCGAAACGTCATCGACCGACTGGTGAGCTCTGACATGTGAAACCTGATTCAAGCGTTTAAAACCAGGTTCGGCTCTAGCCTGCAAGAAATGACCAGAGTAGACAACTTTGACACTGAGCTGTCTGGTACGGTCGACAGCACAAGTTTTTACAACGCTCTCGCAATCAGAAACCATGGGCGAGGGACCCGAGATGAGCTGGACCCCCGCCAAAAACGAGCAACATTCACCAGCCTGGGGCGTCTGCGGGAAATGGGCCCAGACGGGCCCCGAGGCAGTGGCAATAAGCTCCTGGTCGGAACTATAAAGGGCAATTCCCCGGGAAGCTCTAGGGGGCTCCTTGATGACACTTCTAACGTACGAACCGTCCACAAAAACAACACCTTCAAGCGATCCTGGCTGGGGGGGGGGGGGGGGGGGTCCGAATGCCAATCGATGGTCAAGGTATCATCGTCCATGTGGCAAGGCCGAGGATGCAGGTCACCAGGGTGAGGGAGGGCTCCGTGAGTGATCAGAAACAGCTTATCGGACGATGAAGCGTAATCGTTCAGGGAGTCCAAAAGCTCCTGACTGACCAACTCTGAGCGCTGAGCTTGCAACTTCGGGCACTTCCCTAAACGGTGAAAAATCGAGTCGGTGGGCGCGCCGCATAGCTCGCACTCAGCTGGGAACTGGTAACCACAGCCACGGGCTTTCATACGAGTCCAAATGCCGTCGCACGAGCAGCTTCTCAACATTCCTTTCTGGAGGGGGGTGTACCTGGAGGAGGCCAAATAGGAGGATACCACATCGTAGCAGAGGCGGCCGTGCCCGAAACTGTACTTCTGC